AGGTGAACCCGGCTGGCTGAGTGGGGAGACAGGGAGAACGCATCAATAGGAAGGCAGGAGAAAGTGAAAGGGGACAGTCGCAAGAGCCAGTCTGTGGCACATGTAGAACTGCTCTGGGTCTCGCTCTGTCATTTTATGCTTAAAACGTCCCCAGGGTGAAAAGGCTTTCCTGGAACAGGTAGGCGGTGTGCTCCGGTGTCGTATTGGCTGGGTGGCTGCTGTGAGCTTCTGTAGGCGAGTGGAGAGGGTTTGCGAGCAGAGGCAGACCGCTGTATTTGTGTTTTAAGAAGGAACTGGAGAGGCAATGTGCTGCAGCTTGGGCTTACGCTGCCTGCCAGGCGCACGTGTGTTGTTTTAGTGGGGGTTTTTTTTTTTGCCATTTCGCCGTGTGGCTGTATCCGCATTTCCCCGCGACGGGCTATAGAGAACGCGTCGCAAGTCGTACCCCGTGGGGCAGCGTGCCAGTGAGACGGTGAATCAGGGCCACCCCAGAGTGGGACGTCACTCGGTGACCTGGCCCCCGCCCCCCAAGCGTGGCCCCGTGACACGGTGACGCAGGTGTCAGAAAGGTGGCGAGGCAGAAAGGTGAAAAGCAGCTGAGCTTTCGAGAGCAGTGGAAACTGAGAGGCGGCAGTGCGGTCTTGAGCTGTGAAGCCTACCGTCCTACACCCTCCACACCTCTCGCAAGTCTCCCCGGAGACCCAGTGCGCAGTCGAGAAGGGACTCAATCGTCCCTCCCCCAGCACGTGTGAGCCAGCCATGAGGCCAGAGTGTGTGGCGCTGATGGCCCTGTGGGTGCTGGGCAGCATTTGCCCGAGCGCGGGCATGTCCACCTGCAAGCTGCTGGACCTGGAGCTGGTGAAGAGGAAGCGCATCGAGGCCATCAGGGGCCAGATCCTGAGCAAGCTGCGGCTGCCCAGGGAGCCCGAGCCGGACGAGGTCGGGGAGGGGGAGGACATCCCGGCCGCCCTCATGTCCGTCTACAACAGCACGGTGGAGCTGAGCGAGGAGCTGGCGCAGCAGGGCTACTCCCTGCCCTCCCAGGAGACAGAGGAAGAGGAGTACTTCGCCAAGGAGGTGCACAAGTTCAACATGAAGCAGAGTGAGTACGGGCAGGCATGGTGCATGAGAAAGCGCACACACACATTAAGCTTGCTGGTTTGATTCCGAGGTGGGGTACTGCTGTTGTACTCTTTCCCAATGTACATAACTCCAATGGTATCGGTACAAAACCGCCAGGGCATAAATGTTATGCGTTATGTGTAAAGGTAGTGTGTAAAAATAGAAGCCATGTAAATCACTGTGCAAATATTGTGGACACACACTCTCTCAACTCTGTGAAGAACAATGACACCTACCAAAATGTGAATTCTACCCCATTCATGGTATTATAATGGTCTCAGGTGAAAACTTTACTACATTTACATTTACATTTAGGTCATTTGGCAGATGCTTTTATCCAAAGCGACTTACAAGTGAGGAACAGCAAGCAAGCTACAGTAATATAGAAGACCTTAGTGTAAAGCTTTAAGTGCAACCTAAAACAACTAAACTCAACTAAGTAAGTCAAGGAAAGTAGAAAACAAAGGTAAACAAGATGAAAGGTGAAAACAAACAGTTACAGGAGAAAAAAGTGCGAGGCAAAAAGTGCGCAGAGATGGAATTATGTTGGAGTTGTAAGAAGTGTTTAGGAGAGGAGGTGCTCTCGGAAGAGCTGGGTCTTCAAGAGGTTCTTGAGGATAGAGAGGGACGCCCCTGCTCTTATGGCACAAGGTAGCTCGTTCCACCAGCGGGGAACTACATGTGAGAATAGTCTGGACTGAGATTGCCTTGTGTGTAGGGATGGCAATGCTAGCCGACGTTCCTGGGAGGAACGTGTAACGGCCGAGAAGGAGCGTAAGCCTGGATGATTGAGCTCAGATATGTCGGAGCAGACCCAGAGGTCACTGTGTAGGCAAGCATGAGAGACTTGAATTTGATACTAGGAGTTGAAATCATACAGTATATTGACCATGGAGGTCTTGACACAATGGCACATGCTAACATACATATGACTGGAGGAGTCATCTATGAATCGGTATCTTAACAGAGATCAGGACACACAAATTCAAAGCCTAACACATTGATATGTTGGACGATTGCAACGTTATCATGGCGCACATGGAGTCCCCATGTACTTGTGCATTTTCCCATTCAGAATGTCCTTAGTCAGTTTTATTTTGTTGAGACAAAAGTTAGACGTTACCATTGCTTTGCGTGGCTTCTTACACTGTGCTACATCACTCTGTTGGCATCCATGGTATTTTTATTGTAGCATTGTCAATATTTCTGGCTTGCTTCTCAGGCCTATTAATGCCATTTTGGCTCTGATAATGAAATTGCCAAAGCCAAGCTTTTGATATCACATCTGATTGAAAAGCGCAAGGTGTTCCGCTCTTTTGTACTTGGGCTATTTAATACCTGACTCCTTCCAACTTCCAGCCCACCCTCTCTCGTTTCATCAGAACCCATTTTCTTCTGCCTGTCTTCAGAAAGGGAGAAAGAGATAGTTTTGTCTGGAGGCATCTGGGAGGAAAAAAGGAGAGGGCCATAGGGAGTACGGGGAGGTACAACTGGTGAAAGTAGGCACATTGCAAAGAGACTCTGAAAAAGAGGATTGGGGGGACTGTATGAGGAGACCATCGCACAGGGCACATACCCCTCCTCTCCCCCTCATGGGCTTCCTGTAACTTGAGCCCCGCACCAGACCTGCACTCCTCCCTTCCATATCTCTCTATATCTCCCCCCCTTTCTCTCCAGGCCGGTGGCTTCTGTGTTTGTGACGGGATAGCTGGGGCTATCTGGATGGCAGGCAGGCAGGCAGGAAGGAAGGCCGGCAGTCAGTGTGTTCTTGTGTGACTCAGGCCCTTTAAAAATAGCATCCCGAAGGAAGCTTTAGTCTGTTATCTCTGTTCAACACATCTCAGCATCCACCCCATCTCTGTCCCCGGGCCCATTACAGCTCTGTGCCCTAATAAGGTTTAGCACCAGGTCCACATGTGTCCATGGTCTACAGGGGGCGACGGTGGGGCCTCTGCAGTGCTGTGCTTGGTGTCTACACTTTCGTTCTTTGAAATGGAGGTCCCGCTGTGCTCACTGGCTGTGCCTCTGTCCACCCTCCTTCCCACCTTTATCACAGCAGGGGGTGGGGTGGGGGGGAGAGGAATTCAGAGAGAAAAGGAGATTTCTGGATGCAGTATGGGAAAAGGTGGTCTTCAGGTTATTCTCTCTGTTTCAGTCTCTCTGCAGCGTATTCACAACCCCCCCCCCCGTTCAGATTTCATAGGAATGTGCTCCTTTGTCATTTTGTCATCAGGTTTGATTGAATAGGAGTCATGAAGTTCAGTACTAACACAGATGTGAGATAAAGTTCCTATCAGTTTAACAAAGACTGGAGTTACCTCTGTGCTTCTCCCCAGGGCCTACTCAGGAAAATTGTGGTGTGTATTTATTTGTGTGTGTGTGTGTGTGTGTGTGTGAGTGTGAGAGAGAGAGAGAGAGAGAGAGAGAGAGAGAGAGAGAGAGAGAGGAGATCCTGCAATAACCTGTTGTGTTTCAGTTGCAAGATAAAAACATTACAGCAAATTCAAATGAATTTTGTTATTGAAAAGCTGAATGATGCTGTCTATTTGCATAGATATGAAGGCATAATAACTTTTGAAATTACATTACATTACATGCATTTAGATGACGCTCTTATCCAGAGCAACTTCCACCATAAGTGTATCCATTCAATTTAAATGAGCAACAGTTTCAGAGCAGGCTAACAACACTCCCAGACCAGCAAGTATGAGCATGGCAGTATTTCAGCCCTACCACAGGTTAACTTGTACAATTGTGCAGAAGCCAAGTATACTACGATACAACAGAAATGTTTGATATCACATCATCTTTGACCTAATTAGGGGTGAGCTGAAGAGGACACTGTCAAATAACTAGTAGATGTGCATGTGTGTGTGTGTATGTGTGTGCGTGGGTGCAATCATATCCATGCCTGTGAGTGTGTGTGCATGTGCACTTGCGTGCACGCATGCATGTGTGTGTGCGTGTGTGTGTGTGCACTTGCGTACATGCATGTGTATGTGTTTGCATGTGCATGTATGCGTGTGCGCATGTGCATGTGTGTGTGTGGGAGTGCAAGTATGTGCATGTCTGTATGTGTGGCTGAGCCTTTTTTAATGTCTGAATGTCAGCTGATAAATCCTATTTTAGCATTAGAGGAACACAGAGACAATGATGAAATGCACCATTAAAGCATTAAATGTTCTACATAGACGACTTAACCACAGCCATTTATCATCATTACCAGATAATCAGCAGAAAGGCAGTTTGGGGATTTTTGTCTTATGTGTCTACTTCCATTTTTAATTCTAATGGGCCTCAGGGGATGCATTCTTGCCTGTTGCACCTCACTATTTGCTGTACTGCTGCAGACACTATGGCCCATGTTCACATAGGCTTTTTGCATCAAAAAGAGGTTGGTGACACATAAAGCAATAAAAAAAAGAAAAAAGAATTTAGAGACAAAAGAAGATGGGGAAAGAGAGGGATGTCAGGGGAGTAAGAAGATAGAGAGGGTAAAAAGAGAGAGAGGGAGACAGACAGAGAGAAAGAGGGAGTGGGGTGAGGTGCAGTGAGTGAAGGCAGGTATTTAAGTCCTCTGGAATCCCGTTTCTCCCTGTTGTAATTACAGAGCTGTCTCTCTGCCTGTCATAACAGCTGTCCTGAGCTTACCTGTGGCGAGGTCCCTGATTACACTCACAAATCACCCACACCCAGGCAGAGAAGGGGGGCAGGGACCAGCCAAGCTGATCCAGTCATTGTGTACCCTGCTCCCTTGTGCTGTCCTTGCCCTTGCACTCCTTTGTGCCAATTACATTTCTGCTTTTTTACATATCATCCATTTGTACAGGTGGATATTAACTGAGGCAATTCTGGGTCGAGTACCTCGCCCAAAGGCGCAGCAGCGAGGAATTGAACCAGCAACCTTTTGGTTACGAGCCCGGCTCCTTACCACTATACTACACTGCTGGCCATAGAAGCACCGCCCTTAGGAATTGAACCTGCAATCTTTGGGTTTCATGCCCAGCTCTTTAACCATTACACCACACCGCCACCCCAGTTTGCACAAGGGCCAGACTCCTGGTGTCGTTTTGATTTTTTGGTTCATGATATGTTCTCCATTCTTTATCATGGTCCTTCATTCCTTGACTGTTATACAATGCGTTCCTCCATTTGGTTTTGTGAGGATGTTTTTTTAGTACCTCAAAGATCCAATGTGACCAAATTGTGAAAGCCCAAAAAGCACAGGACACTTTCAGATTTCAATCCATTTTGTGGCGTTGGCATGGAAACAAGCTGTTTTGAAAGGGGCGAAACCAGTTGAAACTGAGCTGCAGATACCGAAACAGTCCAATTAAGACTGAAGACGCGCACGGGACATTTTTAGGATGTATTTTGCAGTAATTATGACCTACAGATTTAGTTGCTGCATGTAGAGGGCTGTTTCTGGTGCTGATTTGCAGAACCGATTGAAATCATTCGGTTTTGTCAGCATTGCAAGAAACCACTAACAACCTCAACCTTTTACCTCTTCCTATCTGCCCTCCCACAGGTTTCTTTCTTTCCATCCAATTTCCCCCTCTCTCTCTCCCTGCTCTCTCATCATCTCTTCTCCCTGTTTTCAGCCATTGTCCTGTTCCTCCCTTTCACTCTTTTCCAGTCTAAGTGAATCACTCCAGATGCATTTCTCTGCCTTCAAAACTCCCAGTGCACTGCGGGCAGATTATATGGGCTGAGGGACTCTGGAATCACAGGCCTCTCCACCCACCCCCCACTTTAGTGTGGTGCTTTGTGGTGGTACAGCTTGGTACGACCTGGCTCCCAGAGCGGCCTCTTTCTCTCTCGCTCCGTCTCCTTGTCAGCGTGTAATTACTGACGCAGATCCCAGGATAATTTCGGCTCAGACAGGCAGAGACGTATACGCAGTGTTTGGGGCCCAGCCAGACCCTGGGATCTGAAAGCATGCAGAGCGCTATCTCTTCGCCTCCTTCTGACTCTTTCTTCCTCCCTAACCGACATCGCCCTCGTTGCTCCATTCTCCCCCTTGCTCTCCTCTCTCACCATCTCTCTGCTCCTGTCTTTCCTCCTCACTCCGCCCCACCTTACCCCCACTCCCCCAAATCTCTCCCTCCCACTCTCTCGCTCTGTTCAGCGATGCAGTGATGCAATGTCAGACGAGTCCTGTAATTAAACACAACAAACCCAAACGAAGTGTCTCCGCTTGGCACTCCATTACTGCTGCTTCCAGGCGATGTGCAGCGCGGTGCCCTTATTACCCACACGCTGCCTGGGCCTCACTCTGCTCCCTCTTCGCATCCTCGTAAAGTCTCCCGGCAGCGTCTCATGTGTCCATGTGCACAGCCAGCTGACACAACATCCCCATGCGCTTCACAGGGACACGTCACCTAATTGTAGAGGTTTTGGCCGGTGGGCAAATTACACGGCTATACCTGCAGTCTACATGCCAGTTTTATGTAGCAGCTGCGCAGAAAATTGCACCACACACACCAGGTGCACGGTACACATACAGATCTTCAGAGGCCAGATGCACAGGTGTTTCTCATTAAGATAAGCACGGTGCAAAGTTCACCTTCCATATTAGCACCAATGGATCCTGCAGAACACAGCGCAGAGTAACAGCGCGTTGGTACGGGCATCCCTCTAGCTCCTAATCTTTCCTTTTGCGCTCTCTGTGTCCCACTATCTTCAGGCAACACCAGCACTGAGAACCAGATGCTGTTCAACTTGAGCGAGATGCGGGCCAAGCTGGGGCCCGGGCAGAAGCTCTCCAAAGCCGAGTTGCGCCTGCTCATTAAGAGTGTCAACATGCCCAAGGGTGTCGAGCAGAGACTGGAACTGTACAGGGGCCTGGGAGAACACGCCCGCTACCTCACCTCTCACTTCATCTCCATGGAGTCAAGCAACCGCTGGCTGTCCCTTGATGTCACGAAGACCCTGAAAGAGTGGCTGGACGGGCCTGGTCAGTCAGCATTGCACGTGTGACCACACGTCATCAGGTCTACAGCCTATGGCACTCTTGCAATTGTCAGCATCATGCTCACAATCTGATATAGCTGGGTGCAGCAGTGATAAGGGGCCCCACACATGTGACACAACTGTATGCGTCCCCTCTTTGTCAAAATCATGTTGCTTCCACTTTCAGATTTGTCATGCACAATTGTTAGGGGGAAATAGTAGAATTTACAATCCATTTGACGTACAGTACCAGTCAGGTACAAGTTTGGACAAACCTTTCTTAGACAAATACAAAATAGTGAAGTTGATACCTATGCATGAGTTTCTTTTCAAAAAAATATATTTAAAAAATATTTTTTGCCTACTGGGAAGAATCAAAAATATGGGATAGTTTTGATTTGTTTAACACTTTTTTGGTCACTGCATAATTCCATCTGTGTTGTTTCATTGTTTTGATGTCTTTACTATTATTCTAAAATGTGGAAAATGGCAAAAATAAAGAAAACCCCTTCTATGAGTAGGTGTGTCCAAACTTTTGACTGTTACTGTATTTCCATTCAGAGGAGGGGATTTTTTAAGAGCTCATGTATGGTTTCCTTTTTAATTTTGCAGTATTCTCACAGAGTGGATTGTCTGGCACTTAGAAATAAGTAAACCTCTGCAAGGTTCCCAAGATGAATTTAAACATGTGTGACTGTGTTTAAAAACATATCAGGTGCATATGAATGCATGAGGCCCCGTCTGATGACTTTAATGCCTGTTTAAATACACTGTATTCATATAGTCTTTACTGCTGTATGCACTAAATGCACATTGCAACACAGAATTAAAGAGGTTTCTATTACACACAGGTGACAGGTAACATCAAGTTTAGAGTTTAGGTTACTGTTGTAGTTACAATAATGGCAATGCAATACTGCAACTGCACTTGTAACAGTCTTTAGAGTGTAATTACAGGGCAAGAAGAAGCCTTGTTGCAGCATGTGCCTTTGTCGCACGTGACAGCATGATTTCTGAAGCGTCGTTGTCTTTTTGTCTGTGTCATGCAGATGAAGAGCAGCGGTTCCAGCTGAAGTTGTACTGTGGTTGCGGTAAACAGGAGGAGAAATTTGGCTTCATAATCTCAGGTACGGCAGGCCTGCGCATCCCTAGGAATGCCCCGTGTGGGCTGTGAAGCTGACAAACAGATGGCAAATAGACATTTGGAACGCCCAGTGTTTTTCCTGCGTTTGCATAATGGCAGGCTGTTACGGCAAACGGCAGGCTCATAAACTTGCATGATCTTCCTTTAATGGGAGTCTCCCCATCTGACCGCCTCCCTCCCTCCGACTGCACAGGGATGAAAAATCAAAGAGGGGACACCGGGCCCCTCGCCACGAAGATGCAGAAGCCCCACATCCTGATGATGTCAACTCCCGAGCAACAGTTGAGCGACGGCACCTCACGCCGGAAACGGGCCGCTAGCACAGACGAGTTCTGCACAGAGTGAGGCCCCTCTCTCTACCCTCTCTCTCTCTCAAGGCTGTCATCACCACTAAGCACAGAAGTCAGTTAAAAGTGCAGCTAACTAAACCACAGGCCTTTTATTTCTGTGGGAACTTGAACATTTTTGGTTAGGATATCATTATTTTTCAGTGCCAGATAACAAGAAAAAAAAACAACCAAATGCCATTTCATTTTTAAAAGCTGATATCATTAGCATCTTCTTTTTTTTTCCCTCTCCAAACCATATGCTGTATGCACTCTGTGGTCCAGTGCACTTTTTTACAGTCCTTCTTATACTCTTGTGTGCTGCAGAAAGTCTGAGAGCTGCTGTGTACGGAGGCTGTACATTGACTTCAGGAAGGACCTGGGCTGGAAGTGGATTCACGAGCCCTCGGGCTACTATGCTAACTACTGCATGGGCTCTTGCACCTACATCTGGAACACTGACAACAAGTACTCCCAGGTACTGCTAGACAGCTTGTGGTGTAGAGGTTAGAGCACAAACGATCACTGCAGGTTTTATTTTAAAACCCTCATTATCTGTGTGCCACCTTTTTGAAGGCAACCTTTATTAAAGGGATTAATTATTTGAAATAATACGGTAAATAAGGCAATGGTCCAGAACAACATGATACACACATGAGGCACATATTCAGGGTGGATTCCAAATGTGAAATGCGGGATCCTTTTTGGCCTTTGAAATGAATGTTTTAGTACAGATCAGGCTTCTCGGACAGCAGGGAGATTTTTAGGGCTCTCGCAAGTTTATTTATTCATCTGTTGGAGGTGATCAGATGTCTCTGTTCTGAGCCTCACAGGTATAGAGTTTTGGGGGGATTCCAGGTGATTTTCAAATGATGATCTTGGGGGATTCCATTATCATTTTAATTTGCCCATCCCTCAGGCTTTGTGGTCTGTGTAAGTACATACATTGTGCTCAGGGAGTTTGGGAAAAGCAGCTTTGGTTTTCATGGAGCAAATTGTGAGGTGTCCCTCTCCTGCTCTTCTTCTTCTACCTCTTTCTATCCTCTCTCTCCTTTTCTATTTCTCCTTTTGGCAATCTCCCACTTGTAATAGTAATAATGGATTGCATTTATATTGTGACTTTACAGTGAAAGGGAAGTGACTCTCCAAAGACACTCTCCATGGTAGCCATTTTGCATTCCTCCACTCTTCCCCACTCTCTCTCGTCCTCTTTTCTCAGTGAACTGTGCACTGTGGAGAACAACAAGCCCCTCTTTGTGTCTTTTGCAGATACTGGCCTTGTATAAGCACCATAACCCAGGAGCCTCTGCCCAGCCCTGCTGTGTACCCCAGGTTCTAGACCCTCTCCCCATCATCTACTATGTGGGAAGGCAACACAAGGTCAGTATTTGATGCTGGTGTAATCACTGTGATGGACATGTTCTGGTAAAACTATAATAACTCATTAGAGACCTTAAATGGGAACTGAAATGGCAGGGCACATCTCTTTTGTATTAAAAAACCTACAATTAGAAGTGTAACAG